TTTCTGAATGGAACCCTAGTTGCACGAGAAATAATATCAAGAATCAAGAAATGGGACACATCACATTAAAAATCTTCTTAACAGCAAAGGAAACCACCAATAGAGTGAAAATAGAACCTACAGAATGGGACAAAATTTTTGCCAACTACTCCCCAGAAAAAGGACTAATATGTAGAATATATAAAGAACTTAAAAAATTAGGCATCTTAAATTTAAAGACCCAATCAAAAATAAGCATATGAAATAAACAGGTACTTCTCAGATAAAGAAGTGTAAATGGCCAGTAAATACATGAAAAAAATGTGCAGCATTGCTAGCCACTTGAGAAATACAATTAAAACAACACTGAGATTCTATCTCATTCCAGAAAAAAATGGTCACCATCAAGAAATCAACCAGTAACAAATGCTGGCAAGGGTATGGGTGAAAAAGGAACTTTTCTTCATCGTTGATTGGAGTGTAAACTGGCACAAGTACTGTGGAAATCAATATGGAGTCCTCAAAATACTAAAAATAGAAATTTCATTTGATCTAGCTATTTCCCTTCTAGGTGTCTTCCCAAAAGAGTTAAAGACATCATACCACAGTGATACATACCCATGCTTACAGCAGCATAATTCACACTTGCTAAATCTTGGGAGCTGCCTATATGTCCATCAACAGATGAGTGGATAAAGAAAATGTATTTATACATAATGGAGTATTACTTTGCCATAAAGAAGGGTAAACTCAAGTCATTTATAGGAAAATGGATGTACCTTGAGGCATAATCTTAAGTGGAGTAAATCAGATACACAAACTTAAATATCACATGGCTTCTCTTATATGAGAAATCCAATATATACATGACATACAAAATAAAAGCCAGATAATAGGGAAAAAAGTTATAATCCAGCATGGACAATGCATCTAAAAGTGTACATTGATTTAGTATAATTGTCATATTTTTGGTTTTTGGCCTGTTAATCTGGCTATTAAGCTGTGTGTATGATAACTAACTTGATAAAGACTTATGAGGTCTTATTCATTTATAGGATAATTGAATCTGATGCTGGGAAAATAACACGGGGGAGGAAAACTGGAACGTGTTATATATATGTACCAACTCCTACAGTGAATGTAATCACGATGTACCTCAAACATGTACTAATAAAACTTAAAATTTTTAAGAAAGACAACTTAAAAATATTAATTATGGTTGTATGTGGAGGGAGGAGTAGCAATAAATTGTCAGTATATCTTCCTTTAACCCATGAATATTCACCTGTACTTTCAAATACATTTTTATTAGGATAAAAATAATGTAAAATAACCCCACATTGAATAAGGTTTTTTTTGTTTTTTTTTTTTTGTTTGTTTAAAAAAAAGGTCCCTTACTCACTAATCCCATGAATAGTCATGTATTTCTAAGTCCGGCCCACAAGGTCAGATGAGAAAACAGCAGGATTGGTAAACTCCTCAGAGTCTGAGAACAGATGGAACGATCTAGAGAGCTTAGCATTAAACACCTGCAGAACGAGAGCCAAACACACAAAGACAAGTTGTTGTGATCATCGCCTGTGTGCTGTGCCCTTACCGTCCTCGCTGCACTGCCTGGCTCTTACCACGGCTCGTCTCTACTCCCGTCCCTCCTCACAGGTTGGCCAAGGGTGGTAGCATGCTGAGGAAATCTATGAAGATGCTAAGGACACTGAAGTGTTCTTCTGCTTAGCAGTTTTTCGCAGTTAATACCTAATTACATAAAGTCCAATCTGTCATCTGAAAGCACAGTTTAGTACACCACATACAAACTAGCATGTTTGCTGTACCACCTTCAGAAAAAAAAAAAATCAAAACACATGAGACGTGTATGAGATGTCAAAATACTAAAATACCTGGTGCATTGAGGGGCTCACTGGGAATAATGAGAATACTGGAAATTGACATTCCAGAGGTTCTGGCTGGACTTCACACATAAGGCTGTCACATTTGCTGATACTTTCTCATCCCTTATTCTGTCTTTTCCCAAAGAGCTTGAGTTTATTTTGAGTGGGTTACTAAAGTATAAGATCAGGTAATAGTTTTAAGGCTTATGAAGACACTGAAGTATGCCCTGTGATTGAATGTGTCATGTGAAATTCATTAGAATCATGAGGACACACAGAAAAAAATTAGAGGAATACTCCTCCTACAGGTGCCAGGTCAAATTCCCACTATTAATGTAAGTTACCATGTACAATGTCTTTATTGTGTGATAACACAATAATTGAAAACACAGGCTCTGAAGGTAGCCTGCTAGGGCCCAAATTCTGGTCTAACCATTTACTTAATTGACTGACCTTATCAAAAATTCAGTCTAAAATCAAAATAACGCCTCATCAGGTAACACAATGTGACTCTCTTGGCATACCATGTTTAATAAACATTAACAATTACTGTTATATTAAAATTAAAGCAAAATAGCAGAAAGTGGCTTGACTCTTTCCTGGCCCAGGAAAGTGGAGGTATTTTCCTGTCTAAAGTTTGAATCAAGCTAAGAATTGTTATACCACAAGACTGCAGATTTAGAGCAAAAACAATGTTGACTGTGAAGAAAGCACTGACAATTATTTGGAACTTTTGAGTCTTATAGCAATATTGGTAAGAACCAAACAGCGTTGAAATCATATCATTTCTTTCAGCAAAGCTGAATTTAATGGCAAAAAGGATAGTTACGGAGGCTGAGATTGTTGATATATATAGAATAATAATGTTCAACCATATTTTAGTTTCTTACCACAATTTGTCAGGTACTCCTTCTCCAGCCCCATCCCCCCTCCCAGACTTAAATGTCAGACTCCAGCTCTACACCACACTATTCTGCTTCCTCGGGACACGGAGACATGAACACCTCTGCGCTATTCTCATTCTAGTAGGCCTCCTTTCCACCAGGGAACTCCCTTTGCTTTTCAAGTCCCAGATGAAATACTGCACCCACCACAAAACCTTTCTTAGTTCTTAACCTCGAATGACCCTCGCCTTTCTCTGTCACTGAATAGCACACTTCGACAGTTGCTGTCCCAGGATTCCTGTTAAGCTGTTTTGTATTACAGAGATGTGGAAGCATCCCTATCTTTCCCCTAGACCAAACACGCTGAAGGAAGGGGGCCACCCATGCCTTCTCTCCTTGAACGCAATGTTTTTTATTTTGTTTTTGAAGTACTGGGGATTGAACCCAAAGTCTCTGCACTGAGCTAAATCCCCAGCCCTTTCATATTTTTATTTCAATACCAGATCTTTTTAAGCTGCTAAACTGCCCAGGCTGGGCTCAAACTTGCAATCCTCCTGCCTCTACCCCACTCCCCAAAGCACAGTCCTTCTCTTTTATTTTGTACTGGAACCATACCTAGGACTACTTTGCCACTGAGCTACATATCCAGACCCTTATCATTTTGAGACAAAGTCTCACTAAACTGCTCAAAGTGACCTAACTTGTGATTCTCCTTGCCTCAGCCTCTTGAGTAGGTGGGATTACGGCTTTAATGTTTATGCAATAGTTCCATCCCTTTATCCACAGAGAATAATGCAGTGTCTAAGAACCTCCTCAAGAAAACATCAACTGTCTCACAATGTATGCATTCTTAAAATCTTTACTTAAAACTGAAGTCAGTAGGTGATTCTTTTCCTGGTAGATTATAGTTTCCCAAGCAAGACTTGTTTCAGTTCATCTTCCTACAATCTTTCTGTATATAACTGTATTCCGTGAAGGAAGGTCAAGGGATACCTCACTGTAGAAAAGGACCACACAAAATACAAGTGCAAAAGAATGGGACATGGAAGTAAAATCTGAAGATCTGACAACCCTGCCTAATGGCCATCATACAGCTCTCCACCTTGGAGCACTACAATCTGTCCTGATACAGGATTCAGACACACGCACGCTAATATCACCAGCTTTTCAGAGTCAAGACAGAAGTCAGCACAGATCTCCTATTGACCTGATCTATCTTTCCAATACCTTTTGCCCGTCCCCAAGCCACACTCATCCAATAGATACGAAGGGGCCCTGTCATCCCACTCACCTACTCAGGAGAGGGAGAACCAACCAGGACGATCTTAGGATGTGGGTGGTGCTGACAGTATGACTTGCTGCAAAATTTCAGGTTAAACAAATTTACTATCTAATCTCTACTTCCAAGAACGTTGGAGGGGGAAAAAACTTGTTTCTGGTAATGATATGCATGCTAAACCTATATTTAAATATTACTTAAAAGAGGCTGTAATCATGTAATGAATAATCTGCCTCCCACTCTATAATCTTCTCTAGCTTCCTCAGTTATCTGCTTATTCTAGTCTGGACAATTTCTAAGAGGATGCTACTCAGCTCCAGGGTGGGGATGGAGACTGGGAATCCACCCTCAATTTAAACTATAAACTCTTCAAGATATTTAAAAAATACACCCAAACATTGGCCCAGTCCATTGGTTCCAAAGCAGCTGTATCAAGAAACATATGCTATAAATAACATATTTAGTGTAAATGCTGCCTAAACTTCCGGGATCGCTGTGCTGGACAGATTTGGCATCCTAAGAATAAAGCACTGCTCTCCTCTGACGGTCACATTTTAAAAGTTACCAGCTGTCTCAGAAGCCTCTGGGCGCTGCCGAGCCGGGTACCTAGGGTGATCCAGAGATGGAAATAAGTACCCAGTCCTCCCAAGTTCCGCTCGGGGTCCAGGTGGCCAAGGCGCCAGGGCCTCCCGCGCTCACCCGGGTTGACCTGGGGCTGCTGAATGAACCTGGCGCCACCAGGCAGCGCCTGTTCCGGCCGGTCCGCCGCTTTTTGACAGCTCAGATGCACCAGGGGCGCCCCAACAACTCTCACCTGGGCACCTGCGCGCACCCGTGCCCGCCCCGGGAGCTGCAGGCCAGCGGCCCTCGGGGACACGGAAACCCACGGGGGTCGCACACCTCCTCTGTGCTGCCATCCGCAACCCCGAAGCGGTGTGAGGAGCCGGGCCAGCTCCCCACCCCGAGCCACACCTGGGGACACCTTTCCCGCCGCCGCCACTAGGATTCCTCTTCCTTCTTCCTTTCCACTCCCTGCAAAATGCACCCTCAGAGTCCGGCAAGTTCTGCCCTCCGCGGAGAAGAACCGCTTTGGGAAGGCGGGCGTGCAGCGGCGGGCGGGCGCCCCGCGGGCGGGCGGGC